TATATATATCGAAAATACACATATATATCATGAGGATGTGGTTGATTCAGGACTTCTCTATTATAAAAGATTCAATTATGCTCTTGAATGAGTATTATTTTGTTTTCTCACTTTCATTGTTGTTTATGATAATACTCTTAAGCTCTATACAATTGGTATTATATTTCATTTCTGCTTTCTAACTTAACATTCATAATTATTATTGTTTATTTAGTTTAGCCTTGACCTCCTTTCCTTAATTTGGGAAACAGGAAGTAGTTTCAGCGTTGACTATGCTGACTGAAATATGGGTGTATTAAATTACAGATTTATGCAATTAAAGAGAGGTTTATAAAACAATAAATAAAACAGAATCATTCATATCTATTATATTATATCTAATATTGATAAATATATATTTAACATTAACAAAATCTTTATTGATTTTAAATATATGTATGTGATGTCGATTGCCGTGAAACTGTAAAGAAATGAATGACAAGAATCGTAAATAAATGAACAGAGCAATCACACACACGCACACACACACACATACACATATGTAAATGTCCTCTATAAAATATATTTTGTTCTATTTTTATCTGAACTACTGAACGGTTTAGCTGAGTTTTAGTATATATATAGAATAATTAATAATTGCTATCAGTGGTACTTCTATATATGTATTATCAAGGGCGCCAAATTTTATATATATATTTGATTGCATTGCATTTTCAATGAATATTGTCAGTCGACCTTTTGTTCTCACTATTGATTTTTATTGGGGTTTTCTCAATTTGTCAGCAAACAGCATAACATTTACACATAATCAGAATCACAAACATACACATACATATATATTTGTGTGAGTGAGTACATATATACATATATATATATAGCTATATAAATATGGTTAATATTTAAGCTATTGCTGGACTGTGCTCATAGTCCAAGCGACTTGAAGGAGTTAGAAATATAAAATTAGCGACTAAAATAGATTAAGAACGGACGGAATGCACACAAAAAAACATGGAAATATCTGGGCTTTTTATAGGTTTCAATAGTCTATTTCCACGCCTTAATGGGCTTTGCATATAATGCACAGTATTAGATATTTCAATTCACAGTGATTTAGCCTCAAATCATGCTATACAGATATGGTACTACCTGACGATATAGATATAGTATGCGAGCAATTTATGTCCCCATTCACGTAGTTAATATACAAACTTAATATTATATCCATTTTGAACTAATATTTATTTTAGGTCTGTGCTGTTTTGGACAAAAATGAGTATATACATCAACTTATAAGCCTTAATATTTTCAAGTAATATATCAAATGATCTGGCCAAAATATATTCCGATTTATTGTGCCTTTAATCACTAATAAAACAATGTAAGGCGGACGTCTAGGCTTATATAGAATATTTAAAATACAGTCAAGTCCCGATAATTCGAAATGGCAATTTACACAGAAATTTAAATTGTCGAGAATAACCAGAGCAATTTTTTTTTTTCAAGGGGATAGAATTTTGTTTGTTTGATTTAATGCGATTTTCGATTATCGGAGTAGAAATTACTGATACTCGACTGTATAAGCTCTTTAGTTTTGATGCAGAAAGGACGGACAGACTTTGTATTTGAATGATAACGCAAGTCAAAGAAATATATGATTTAAATGGAATATATACTAAAATTATTTTATAATTTAAAACACGTCCAACAAGAGATTAAACAGCGTAAAGTGGTTTGAAAGGACTTCTTATGGAACTGAGAACTGGATAATATTTCAATTATTTTTAATGTGTTTTATATCATTTATTTTGATTTATTTATAATTTAATAAAATTTTAAGTACTCGGTAATGTTGCTTTTAATATTTCTTCAATTTTGTAATATATTATAAACGGTAAATTCTATAGTTGTTCACTCAATGTATTATTTTTAAGAATTTGAAAACAAAAATGGGAAACAAAATAGCATCTAATCTTAAGTAAAAAGTTAAATAAAATTAAAAAAGGATTAAATCGTCTTTATTCTTGCATTTTTGAAATAAATTATATCTAATTGAAGTCGAATATAGAAAAGTATTTAAGATCTTCAGGAAACTTGATAGTGAATATAGCAAAAAATACCCAATGGCATCCTGATTGAGCAATTTTGTATTCGTTTTTATACATTTAATGAGATTAGGCGTAACATTACTAACTTATAAAATAATGTGGAGTGCTCAATAAAGTGTGGAACAGGTGTTCACCGGCAGGTGTTATAGATACGCGACGATAAGTTTGTCGTTCTGCCGCCGATCAAGAGAAGAAGCAGAAAATAATACAAAACGACTGTAAGATTAGCGATTGGCATGAGTAATTGGCATTTAATGCCGACCCTGGCAACAATTAAGCCGCACTTGACGAGGGCCGCGCGAATCAGCTGAAACACTGATTATGATTAGATTAACCCAATTGTGTGTGTTTGGGGAGCTATTGGGAGGCGAAATCGTTATAGAATTCACTTACTTCCGATAAGATTAGCGCTATCGAACACCTAATGGAGCTACTGGCGTACCGCCTCTGAATGGAAAGGTTTCAGTTTCATTTTAACTGTGGCAGCGTCCGAGCACAATGGAAAAACCAAAACAAATTCTAATATGGGGTCTATTGTGCGCCCTGCTCCACTCGCAAGGTACACAACTCTAACTAACTGTATAAACAGGCAATTTACAAAAACCCAAACGAAATTTCCTTTACCCACACCCAAAGGCTCCTCCATGTCGAGCCTTTCAAATCATTGTGAGCAATGGCCGGTAATTGAATTAAAGTCCAAGTTCGGTGCGAAAATGACGGGAGAGTGAGAGAAAAGGAGTGCAAAGTCCACAATTTATATACAAATAATATATA